ATATATATATATATGCTATTCATTTCTTATCCAAGAACTATTTTCAGTGACAGTTGTACAACCACAAGAATTAATCATCCTCTTTTTCCTACATTCAAGTACTCTCTCATCGAACTATCACTGTGACCAAATCATCCTATCGAGCTTAGCTAATTGAATTTTCTGTAACTCCATCCTTGATTTTGTAACCTTCTTAAATCTTTTTTATTTTTAAACTTATATTGCTAGTCTCATTGCATTACATTACGAATAAATATATATATATGAAAGTTGATTGAAGCTGATAACTTATTTCTGCAGCAGTGTCCAACATATCAGAACTACAAAGTTACTCGTCAACCCCTGTTAGAAATTAAGGTTTGAGATGAGACCACTCTCAGACGTCAAAATGAAGGTGGTGAATAATATGGTGGTTCTTGCAATGGCACTTACATGTCATTCCCGTGAGGGCATTCTTGAGTGATGCACTTGTTGGTACTCGGGTGACAATCCAGTCCTGAGTGTAGCATTGATGCTTACCTGGAGAACCCCAATATATGGAATGAAATTCTCTATCATATCTGCTTAACACGGGAATTTGTGAGTAAATTTTCCTCTCTTGTTGCTACTTATAATCAGGGACGGATCTATGAGGGGCTCCCACTGAAATTTTTTATTATTACATTTTACACCTTTAAATTTATACTTTTTTGCTATACCCATAATATTTTGAAATTGCCCCAACTGAAATTATAAAAAAACCCCTCTATATAAATTTGCCTCCCTCATATGAATTCCTAGACCCGTCCCTGCTTATAATCCTCTCTGCTTTCTTGTTTCCTATATTTACTTCTGTACACTTTGTTTTCCAGTTGAGCATCACCTGGATAGAGTAGTTTTTCTTTTATTGAAGTATGAATTTCCTGCCCTTCACAGATTTGGCCAAGTTGGTGAGATGTACATATTATTGAAAATCCGTCCATTGGAATATGAATTCTCTATCATTTTTTTTTTTTTTTTCCTTAATTAGGAAAAATATAAGTGAACATCTATTAATGAAAGTATTAAAAAAAAACACTTAAAATTTGTACTTTTTGATGATTATTAGACAGACTGAGGTGGTATTCTGGTAGTTGATAATAAGAAGCTAGATTCACTGTCAAACAGTACACGCTAAAATGCATATGAGCATGAGAGTATTCATATTGTAAAAAGGATCATGCTGCTTGGACTGAACAGGCCCAAGCCGACAAGAACTAGCAGCTTGATTGATGGGACCCACAATTTTTGTGCGGCCCAACATACTGTTGTGCCTTGTCAGCTTGGGCCGATTCGGCACAACAAGCATTTTCCTTTATAGAAATACAATCAAAGCGTGAAACATGTTTCTCATATACTCTTCCGGAGATGATATTTGAAACGTTTGTTATGGATGAAGTTTGCAGTTGGTGGTTAACGCAGTGTGGCAAGGGATGGGAATCAATGATGGAAGGGATGAATGACTTGAGATGGGGAAATTATGCATTGGTTTTAGTGAAATATATGAATCCAAATGTTAATGGAGAAACAAAAATTAAGAAAGCATATTGAAGATTAGAAGTGATAGGGGTGGGTATTTGTGTTTACACTCGTGTTACTAGGAATGAAAAAGTTGAAGAAGTAAAACTAGGGATGAAGGAGGCATCCTAGAGGGTGGTGCTTTTGTGTCTTTGGTAGTGTTTGTGGAGGAAGCGGAATAGAAGATTCTTTGAACGAGAGGAATCTTTCATCACTTTTCTGAAATATTCTGTTATTAGTTCTCTTTGTTTTTGGGGTTCCGGTAGACTCTGCTCTTCTGCCGAGGAGATTGTTGAGTTTTTGGCTTCCTTGGGGCCTTAGGGTACCCATGTTTTTGTGGTTTTGTTAGGGATGCGGTATCCTTTTAAATGCTCTTTTAATGAATTACTTATTTATCAAAAAAAAAAAGAAAAAAGAAAAAGAAAAGGAGGCATCCTAGAAGGGACAATTATACTTGCTTGGAAAGAAAAGAGGTGTTCTCTTCCATTCATTAATCAATTGTATAATAATTTTGTTTACAATATTAGTTTTAGCGTATACATAAGTGCGCCAAGAAAAGTGATATAGTCCACATATATTGAGGGCATGGACAGACCCAGAAGATTGTGTCTATTAATTTCAGGTTGGCAATAGTAATATTTTAATGGTGTATAACTGAAAAAGAACAAATTAGTAAGGTATATTAGTAAAAAAATAAAAATAATGAGGGGGGTTTCGATTCTCATACGTATATAGGGTCGTGCCTGGTTGAGGGTAATAATAGGAAAAGATGAAGACCAAAGTTAACATGAGTAGAATTAGTAAGGAAGGATACTGAAGCTTTGACCTTAACTAAAGCGAAATGGAAACATATGATTCATACAGCAAATCTCTCAGCTAGTTGAGAAAAAGGCTTGATTGTTATTTTTTTATATTAGTCTTGGCCCGGTGTGTATTAGAGAAAATACAATAAAAAATTAGAAATATACAATCAAAATATAGAAATGAGAAAACAGATATAAGAAAGAAAAAAACAAAAAGAAAGAAGAAAAAAAAAGGTTTATGTAAAAAAAAAAAAAAAAAGTTTTAAATCTAAAGTATTGTTAGATAACCAATTTTTTTCTTTCGTTTTTTTTTTTTCCCCAGAAATTGTTCCAAATTTTTCACAATTCGATTTCTAGAAAAGTTTTTGAGTACTCTGATTTCACAGCTGGGAAAGATAATCATTTCCTTGAAGAAAGATTAAGCAAAAAATGATCATTTTAACTAAATATAATCTGGCACGCTTTAATAAAAGACAATTATAAATAAGAATGTATAATTTTTTTTTTTTGGTAGGCAATATAAAGATGTTTTAGTATTAGCAAGTTCAGGATTTGACATTCAAATAAGTGCCAACTAATAATTTTTTTTTTTTTTGAAGTCATATAACGGATATTATGTGTGTTGTGTTTGTGGCTCAAAATTGTGTACATAAATTAATTTCTTTTTCCGTTTTGAAATGCTCATTAAGTTTCTATTTTAGAGTTGATATTGATATGGTAACTTCTTGTATGCAAGTTAGGGAATATTTGTACAACAAGGAATTGAGTTTGAAGACTCGGTAAATAGAGATGGGTGTGAGGAGTTTAAAGAAAGAGAGAGAAGACGAAAAAGATCTAAGGAATTTAAGGCTAAGTGTTGTGAGGAAATGGGAGAGTATATGTAATTCCCGAGTGTATGCATGTAGCCTCAAAAGAAATAATGAGTGAGTGAGTGGAGTTTTGACATGTTTAGATTTAATAGTAAAATCTCTTTCTCCCATGGACCTAACCCTAGAGTTAGGTGAATCATGTAAAATATTGTGTTATGCGTGGATTTGTGTGATTGTTATCTTTATATATGTTTGTATTGATGTGATATGATAATACTTTCGTTTCATGTGATGATGGAGGAATTTAACTCTTAATAACAACCGACTGGTGAGTGAGTTGGAGGGAGTTAATTATCTCTAACAACGTGCATCAAATGAAAAGATATTGAGTAAGTCGGACATACCCAACCAATCAATATGCACCATTCAATAATTTCTATGGATTTTTAAAAGCACATAAGTTAGGGATGCAAACAGTTTGGTTTGGACATGTTATAATGTGAACCACGAGCAAATAAAAATCTCAATGAGCTTTAAAAACTACAAGTTAGGGATGTATACAATTTGGTTTGGACAGGTTATAATGTGAACCACGAGCAAATAAAATCTCTATGAGTTTTAAAAACCACAAGTTAGGGATGTACACGGTTTGACTTGGACATGTATGGTATGAAACAATCGAACTAAAAATTTATTTAGATTTTAGAAACTACAAGTTAGTGATGCATATAGTTCGGTTTTGGACAAGTTATAACGTAAACCAGGATCAATTTGGTCTCAACAGTTTTATAAAAATTGAAATAAAACCGGACCATACAACTATTAGAATTGAACCGACCCGAATTGTACCGTGAGGGACTAGTTAGGTTGAGTTCCACTGTTTTGACCTTCTTAATAATTTGAATTTATTATATTCATTAGTTAATTTTGAGAGGGGAGAATGAATTATTAATGTTGTATAAAATTCTTCTAAATCACCAATTATCTATTCTTAAAATTAAAATATATGACATGTTTGAACAATGAGTAATGCTATAGAAATATAATATATTACATGATTGAGTGGATATGTAATGTTTTAAGTGTGATTTATGAACAGAATCTCTTTTTAATAAAATTAGAAATAAGCAATTTTAAAAAAATTTAAACATCACTCTTAAGATAAAAAAAAGTGGCTGGTGATGGCCCCATGTTTACCACCAGCTCAGTTTGAGTGCAGGAGTTGCCATTGCTGGTTCAACTAATCAAGAAATTTAGATTATATATATACATATATATATATATGTATATTAATAGTATATCTGTATCTATGTCTGTATATATAAAGAGAGAGATGACTAAAGCTGAAAATTCAGAAAGGTCGTTGTGGTATTAATTAATGGTTAGATATTATGCCACCTCAGGACTTGCCAACACATTTAACATTTCAAACACAAAATCAAACCCACAGTTTTTTGCTGGCTGTTGGTAAAAATCTCTCTCTTCGAAACCACTGCACCCCTAGTTTCTCAAGAAACCATACACAAATTCCCTCTTCTATTTAAAACCGAAATTACAAAAGTACCCTTTCTTAATGTTTGTAATTAGCCTTGCCACTTCTTTCATAGGCATTTTTTAAAATGTTTTTTGCTATTAAATCTAGAAGAGTTCTCAAATTTTAAGTATAGTTTTGAAAAAATTATAATCTAAATTGACTTAATGATTTTCAAAATAAATTTGAGACATTCAAAAAATATAATAATGAGTGGAAATGGCACTTATTGTAATATATAGCAATTATAAGGTCAATCTCACCCATATTACTTGTATAAATAAGAACACCAACTCACTGTCGCTCTCTCAACTTGAAAATTCCAAAATACAACCCCACTCAGAGAGATGCAGTCCACAGTCCTCTCTCACCTGGTGCACCCAGCTAGCCACAATCTGACCCACCGCCGTGTCAAACCACCACCCTCCACCACCACATTCCGTCGGCCACCGCAGGTCTCCGCCGTGGCAGCACCAGCACTACGTCCCCAAGTGACACACTCAATGCCTCCCGAAAAGGTTGAAGTCTTCAAGTCTTTAGAAAACTGGGCCACCCAATGTGTCCTCCCACTCCTCAAGCCCGTGGACCATTGCTGGCAGCCCCAAGATTTCCTACCCGACCCATCACAGCCGTTCGATGCTTTCGCTGAGGAAGTGCGGGCTCTACGTGAACGGACGGCTGGCCTGCCTGATGACTACTTCGTGGTGCTGGTTGGGGACATGATCACTGAAGATGCATTGCCCACTTATCAGACCATGATCAACACGCTCGATGGGGTCCGGGACGAGACCGGGGCGAGTCCGAACCCATGGGCCGTCTGGACCCGGGCTTGGACCGCTGAGGAGAACCGCCACGGCGATCTGCTTCGAACCTACCTGTATCTGTCGGGTCGGGTTGATATGTTGATGATTGAGAGGACCGTACAGTACCTAATTGGAGCTGGCATGGTGAGCTTTATTAAAATAGACATATATATATATATATTTATATAAATGGGATTATGTCATTTTATATTAAAGAATTAAAATAAAAATAAATAAAAAAAAAAACTGAAAAACCACAGTTGCATTTCAAATTTTTTAGATAATTTTATTTCTCCTTCTATATACATATAGAGGGTATGATTCATTGTGATCAAGCGTTTGTTTATTTATTTATTTATTTATTTTTGGCTGACAGGATCCGGGAACAGAAAACAACCCGTACTTGGGATTCGTGTACACATCATTCCAAGAGCGCGCCACGTTCGTGTCACACGGGAACACGGCTCGGCTAGCCAAGGAGGGCGGTGATCCGGTGCTTGCGCGCATATGCGGCTCCATCGCATCAGACGAGAAGCGTCACGAGAACGCTTACGCCAAGATTGTCGAAAAGCTCCTTGAAGTGGATCCCACAAGCGGAATGATGGCCATAGCCGATATGATGCGCAAGAAGATCACAATGCCGGCCCATCTGATGCACGATGGGCGGGACCCACTGCTGTTTGATCACTTCTCGGCTGTGGCCCAGCGGCTCGGGGTCTACACGGCGCATGATTACGCCGATATACTGGAGTTCTTGATCGGACGGTGGAGGTTGGAGAAGATGGAAGGTCTGACGGCTGAGGGGAGGCATGCGCAGGAGTTCGTGTGTGGGTTAGCGCCCAGGATCAGGAAGCTGCACGAGCGAGCCGATGAGCGGGCGCGGAAAATGGAACCGCGAGTGAGGTTCAGCTGGATTTTCGATAAGGAGGTGAAAATGTAGGCGAGTGGGTGCGCACGCGCCATCAAGTGGTGGATTTATTTATTTTTATTTATTTTTTTTCTTTCTTTCTTCCAATGAGGGTTGGGTGTTGGGTTTGTATATATAATTAGCAAATACCATATAGTCAAGTTTAATCTTCTTTGGAACTGAGAAAAAGACAAATACTGCCCTTATTATTATATATCTTTTTAATCATTGCAAATATACAAAGCTGAGCCATCAATGGGAGTAGAGGCGCAAAAGCGGAGTTAGATAAAGACATACAAGACATACAAATTTTGAAGTAAAATAAGAAAAAATGAACAAGCTCCAAATTTATTGGGAGCAAGAGTGGCTAAAAAATGAAAATTACTAAAGGAGTAGAGTAGTAATAGGAGAGATCCAAAAGCTTGATCATCATCAAGGGGAAAAATTACATACCTAAATTCGTACAAGATCAAATCAGATGAAAAGATCAGTTGGAGAGAGGAGAGAAAACGAGAAAGGAGAGAAAACGAGAAAACAGCAGATTTACTCATATATTAGCCAAAAACAAAACAAAACTTAGCCCCTTCCTCCATGAGTGATAGGTAGGCCTTTGCAAAAAAAAATAATAATAATAAATAAAAAAATAAAAATAAAAATAAAAACTACTACTACTATTACTTTAAATAAATAAAAAAATAAAAAGCGAAGTTAGATAAAGACATACAAGGCATACAAATTTTGAAGTAAAATAAGAAAAAATGAACAAGCTCCAAATTTATTGGGAGCAAGAGTGGCTAAAAAATGAAAATTACTAAAGGAGTAGAGTAGTAATAGGAGAGATCCAAAAGCTTGATCATCATCAAGGGGAAAAATTACATACCTAAATTCGTACAAGATCAAATCAGATGAAAAGATCAGTTGGAGAGAGGAGAGAAAACAGACGAGAAAACAGCAGATTTACCCATATATTAGCCAAAAACAAAACAAAACTTAGCCCCTTCCTCCATGAGTGATAGGTAGGCCTTTGCAAAAAAAAATAATAATAAATAAATAAATAAATAAAAATAAAAATAAAAACTACTACTACTAAGGACCGTTTCCATAAATAAAAATTAAAAATTTAGATCCCTTTGATTAAACTAATTTACACTCTTATTAGCGCATTTAAAATTAGGGCTTTTACAAACTTTGTGATTAAATTCAAGACCATTTACTACTTTACTTTATGTGTATGTGTATTAGTGTGTATTTTAACTATGAAATTAAATGAATTTAGATCCCTTTGATTAAACAAATTTACACTCTTATTAGCCCATTCAAAATTAGGGCCTTTACAAACTTTGTGATTAAATTTAAAATTGAATGACCCTTTACTACTTTATGTGTATTAGTGTATATTTTAACTATGAAATTAAATGCGATCATTTACTAATTTTATGTGTTAATATGTATGTAAGTAATTATTTTGAAACAATCCTTTATTATTGGGATAGATAATATATTTTTAATGAAATTTGAATAAATATAAATTAGTTCTGTATTATTTATATAATTGATATAAAGGGAAACTGCTTGGGTTTAAGTTTGAAGTCATTTGAAGTTGAAAAGAATTCTGTTAAGGCAAAATTTTACTTCTGTTTCTTTAAAATTTAAAATGGAAAACTTTAACTAAGCATTTGTTAAGAAAATATATATTTTTTACCTTATTATGAGAGAGTATTTTGTATTTTGTGTTTTTAACATTAATATATTTTATGTGATTATCTTCTCATTTTAATAAAAATTCTGCATTCTTATAAATTTTTTCAGCGTGTAAAATGCTTTGTATATAACGGGCCTCACATATGTGTTTCAATCTTCTTCTTTTAATGCCCTTCAATTTAGTCTATATAGATTAGCTAGAACTAAATATATGACTATGAGTTTTTTTTTTTTTTTTTTTTTTTAAACAAGTGTGAATTAAAGAAAAGGAGAAAATATACAAATGTAGTTGGGGCATCACAAAAACAGAGCCAACAAGCCCAGTGGACAAAAATGTAACCAACCCAACCAAAGAAAACACATGTTGCATCAGCCGAATTATAAGTGAGATAAAAGGCCCAACAAAAAACTAGTACAATAACAAGCCCATCCAAATCAGGCCCAAAAAAGTTCAAGAACCCAAATTGTTGGAATTGATAAACTTTTTGCGCGCAGCCTTCAGACTCGTCCAATTTTCATTCTCTTCCAAATATTTTCACAAATATTTTTAGGGCCAACCATCATATTAATAGAGAGCAAAATATATAGAACTATTTCAAGCAAACTAAACTACGACCATTAGTCCAGCTGGTATTAACCCTCAAATGGAGCAGAGGGGTTCGAGTTGGCCATTTATATGTGCATGTGTGCACTTGTTTATCTAATATATGTATATATATATAATATCGAAATTTCATTTATTAGGAGGCCAACATAAAAGTCAGAAAGACAAAGCAGCATAAAAACTTTTTAAATGTCTTAAAGCACAAATTTACTCTAGTAAAGGCTCTCCTTACTAGACTCTCTGAGTCTCTCAGCGCACCAAAAACTCAGTAATGTCCTAAGCTTCTTCCATTCGGATGATGCAACGTATACTCTCCCCCTTCAGCATGTAATCGAAAGCTTTGTTGATCTCCGAAAACGGGACTCCGTGGGTGATAAATTTCTCCACTTCCAGCTCCTGCAACATTATTATGACAAGGTCACACAAGACATCTAAAACTTTAAAGGAGGCTGTTGACGAATATCGCAAGTTTCCGATCACTCAAATTAATCTTATACTTATATACAAGAAGAAAAGCCGCTTACCTTGTTCATGTATTTTTCAACAACAGACGGAAGGTCAGAACGTGGCTTGTAGTTTCCGAAGAAGGTTCCCTTGAGAGTCCTCTCGTTTAAGAGATTCACCGGATGAGTTTTGAATTGATCATCTTTGTTCGGCACACCAACCAGTACAGCAACACCCCAACCCTAAGAAGCAAACATTTCAGGTGTCAAGCAATGTGTTTAAAGATTATTGACTTTAAGCCCTTGTGAGCATTGAAGGCAGTTAAGTTACATCATGAACACATTCGAATGCAGAGATCATGGCGTTGACGTTTCCAGTGCATTCTATGCTCCGGTCCACTCCACCATCAGTCATCTCAGCAATCACCTGCAATCAAACTTCGAATTTCAGTGTCATCGGTCGAGTCAATGATCATAAAACAGCAAATTTGCAGCATTTTACCTTTCAAAAAAAAATCAGCATTTTCTCTCAAGGACAATCCCAATCTACCCTAAAAAAAACAGGAAAAGAAAGGGGAAATTTCTCAATAAAATTTGGATCAAATTGCCTATATAACTGTCCCCATAGTAGGTCATGTTCACTGGAAATTTCTCAATTTCTCAAATTGCCTTCTAGATTCATGTTTCACAGCATCTTGCATACATGGCTTCATTTTTTTACTAATGAATTTTTTTTTTATGGAGTGGGTAGAGGCCTAGAAGGGTAGCCAAAGGTGAAACGAAGTTATGATCAACATGACACGAAATTATAACAAGAATGGGAACCAACCTGCTGAACAGGCTTGTCATAATCCTTCGGGTTCACAAACTCGGTAACACCAAACTTCTTGGCTGTTAGGAAAAATCAAGTACAAGAATCATCATCGAATAATAAACAGAGGAACATAAAAAGTACCAGAGTGCATAAATTTTTTTTTAAGTAAATCATGAACTTACCATCATTGAATCTGCTGGGATTCAAATCAACACCAATGATTCTTGAAGCCCCAGAAACTCGAGCCCCTTCAGCAGCCTGGAAATTTTTACAAGAAGAATGGAAAAAGAACTCGTCACAATTTCCGAATGATGACGAGAAGGAATAAAATTAGAAACAATGAAATGTTACTCACAGCAAGGCCTACAGCTCCCAATCCAAAAACAGCAACAGTTGAACCCTTTGCCGGTTTGGCAACGTTTACAGTTGCACCAAATCCTTAAGTACAAAAAAAAGAACCAAACAACAAAAACCGGAATTCAGCAATCAACGATGATATTTCTTTACAGAAGGACTGGGATTTTGTTGTCCAAACCTGTGGATATTCCGCAACTAAGAACACAAACTTTGTCAAGTGGTGCTGCAGGATTGATCTTGGCAACACAACCCACATGGGCAACAGTGTACTCACTAAATGTGGAGGTACCGAGAAAGTGATATATAGGTTGTCCTTTAATAGAGAACCTTGTCTTGCCATCATTAAGCATAACCCCCCTTTCGGTATTTATCCTGAGGAGGTCACACATGTTGCTCTCTTCTGATTTGCAGTGGCGACACTCCTTGCACTCGCCCGTGAACACGGGGAGGACATGGTCCCCTGGTTGGAGATCCGTCACGCCCTCGCCTACACTCTCTACAATTCTGGTTACCACAAAGAACAAATTAATGAACAATGAGAATCTGAATGAACAATGTCAACTATATCCATGTTCTTTCTTAGAAACATTAAAGTGCAGCTGCTTTTAATTGAATAGAAATACTCGTACCCTCCCGCTTCATGACCTAATATGCGAGGAAACAAGGGTGTTTGTCCCTGCAATATAAAGAACAAATTTCAGTTCTGCTACAATGTTAACAAATACATATTATCAATTCAAGAATAGTTTATTGAGTGGGACTTATTCAACAGTACTATCCACAATTGATAGTAAGGAAAATCACAGGGCAAAAAGATTTTCAATCAGAAAAAAAAATAATAATAAAAGAAAGTCGTTACTGGAGCTGATCTACTCGATCTCAAACTTTAACTCACTTTCATCATGCTACTCAGCCCGAGCTATTTACCACATTTGCACTGTTGAACTAAGTAAACTAAAAGAAATGAATTGTTCATATTGTAGAATAAAAGCAGCAAATAGTATGCAAATACTAAATGATGAACAATAATCAAGATTTCTACGCTTTATGAAAACATTGCATATAATTAGGGATTAATGCTTCAATGGAGTTGGCAAGAATCAAACAGCGCAATAGTCGATGCACAATAATCAACACCACAATCCACAATTGATTGTAAAGAAAATTTTACAAAATGACATGAAAACAAAGAACTCATACTAAGCAAGATCTTAGCCGAATTTTCTTCTACAAAATTAATAAGAGCATCAACAAATGAAGCCTTTACCGCTCATCTCTATCTCTATAGATTGCTTGGTTCATTCTATCTCAATAGCTTGCTTTCTTTTCCCAACTACTAGGATCAGCTACATGAATCATATTTTTCCATTCTACGTAAGATCATAGGCTTAGTCAAACCACATGTTATCATATTCTTCCTTATTAAGTCTACCGATGTTAACTTAGTCTTCCCCTTCATCTAGCATTACCGTTTCCACTCTTCCTAACTAGCTTATTTAATGGTCTTCTTTACACATATCAAAATCATCTTAGTCGGTTCTCTCCTTTTATGTATCTCCAATTGGGGCAACTTCACGTTTCCACTACCCGACATCCTTGAAATTAAAAGAAATACATTGTTCAACACATTGTCCACGCTGAATAATAACTAGCAAGCGAAGCAAACACGTACAAAAATCTTATATGAATGCACAATAATAATCAAGATTGCTTCATTAAGTGAAAAGGTTGCACATAATTCCAAAGTCAATGTTTCTATCCATTGTAACACACTATAACACAATTTAATTTAGAGCAAAAGCACATCATTGTAACATCATTGTAAATTCCATTCGGAAATTAAACCAAAAAATTACCTTTGCTTCCCAGAAGTAGACATCGGTGTGGCAGAGGGAAGTGAAGAGGATCCTCAAACGAACTTCCATCTTCTGTGGAGGTGCCACCTCCACTTCTTCAATCACCAGTGGCTTCCCGGCTTCCCATGCCACAGCAGCTATAAAACATACATAACACAATTTAATCACACGTAAGGATGATAATTAAATCAATGTACATACAAGAAAGTCTTCGTCGATTAACCTATATATAACTGAGAAGATTTAAGACTGAAATTTTTTGAAAATAATTTTATGATCAAATTTTCTTAATAGTCCCGAGAAGATAACCAAAAATCACTCAGTCAACCAAAAATTGAAATTTTAGTGATATATATTTAGGCAAACCACAATAAATCAAAATTAAAAGTTAAAACTCATCATCATTAAAAGATGGGAAAAAAACAGTAAGAAAATAAAAATGAAAAAATAATAAAAATTCCTTTGTTTTTCCCTTTTAGTTCTGATCAAAAATCAAATATTCAAATCCACCCACAATCAATTGCAAGACAATTGATTGCAGTGTCGGAGGAAAAATAAAAAATAAAAAATAATCATTTTTTTATCAAAGCAAACCCAAAACCCCATATATATACACACACATACATATATGTATCCCCGCCCATATATCTGTTTCAATGATCCTTTAAACACTATCATCCAATAATCTAAACTCTAAATAACTCATGCACAAAAACACTTAAGATGATAGTACTGATTTAGTCAAGTTTTCACAAAAACAAACAGAAATCTATATATATATATATATATAGGCAAACGCCGCAGCAAACCACAATAAATCAAAATTAAAACTCATCATTAAAAGAGGAAAAAATAGTAAAAACACTTCAAAAAATAAAAAACATCTTTTGTAGTTCTAATAAAAAATCAAATATAATTAAAAATCAATGATCCATTAAGACATTCAATTGGAATGTAAAGGGAAAAGACCAAAAAATCAAATTTTAAAAAAAAAAAAAAAATCACTTTTGATCAAGCAGCCCAAAAAAAATCCAAAACCCCGTATGTGTGTGTGTGTGTGTGTGTGTGTATATATATATATATATATCCCCAGACATCTGTTTCAATGATCCATTAGGACAGAGTCATCCAATAATCTAAACTATAAATAATTCCCAGCATGAAAGCCACTCTAAATTAAATTAAACATATATGAAAATTATATAAAACAAACAATCATACAAAAACTCTGAAAAAAATAATAAAAATTACCATATCATAAACAGAGGACTTAACTGTAAGTAAGACCCAAAAATAAAATAAATAAATAAATAAATAAAAACGAGCAGCAAATTACCTCTGCAACGAATGACCTGACCAGATGTGCTAGACATTCTCTGCTTTTATATTTTTATATTATGGAATTTATTTTTTTAGTGAAGAAAAGGGATGCTTTGGTGCTGGTATTTATAATCTGGGAGAGACCAGAATCCGCGCGCATTATCAAAATTACTTTATTTATTTTTTAACTTTTATGTGTGTCAGTGTGTGTTTCTGTGTGTATTATATTCTCGTGTACTATTTATTTGTCTAAATGCTTCCAACGGCGCCACTGGTTTCGTCACAAGAGATACGTGTCCTTTCCAAAATTATAAAAATATCCTCCTTTTTCTTTCCATCTCCTAAGCTCGTTTGGGTTATATGGAAATTCCAAGAAAAGAAGGGAATAATTTTGGTAAGAATGCAAAAGAGAACTTTGAAAGAAAATTTAACAAAAAAATTATAGGAAAATTTTGCATTCTTACATTTTTTTGAATTTACAATAATGCACTTTCCTTTATTGTAAATTAAATGCTATTTAAATTACAAAATGATAAATTTTCATTATCAACTTACTATATTGTCATTTCTTTTATGAAAAGTTAAATGCTATGTTTGTTTACAACGCACGAAATTAAATTAATAGATGTAAAGAGTTGAAATTTGACAATCTAAAATTTATAATAAGCACTAACCCACTTGGCTATTGAAACATTGCAAGTTAAATGGTATTTAAATAATAAAATTACAATTTTTCATAATTTTCTTTAAAAAATAAAAGGGGGAAAAAAGCAAATGGTTTCGTTAGAGGATATACATGTCCTTTCCAAAATTACAAAAGTATCCTCCTTATCCTTTCCATCCCCTAAGCTCGTTTGGGTTATGTGCAAATTCGAAGAAAAGAAGGGAATAAATTTGGTAAGAATGCAAAAGAGAAGTATGAAAGAAACTTTAACAAAAATTACAGTAAAATTTTGCATTCTTACATTTTTATGAATTTATTTGTCATTTCTTTTATAATAAGTTAAATGCTAATTTTTTTATTAGCAAGAAGTGTTAAAAGTTAGATTAGTAGATACAGAGAGTTTAAATCTGTCACTTCAAAGTCCATAGAAGATACTAACCCACTTGGCTATCGAATCATTGCAAGTTAAATGTTATTCAAACAATAAAATTATAATTTTCTTTAAAAAAGGAAAAAAAATCACATAACCCCCCTCTACTATCATTTTCGTCCAAGAAACTCCTATTAAAATTAAATACCCCCGAACTAAAAAAATGCTATCAAATTACCACATACCCGTGACCAACCCGTTTATTAAGTTGTGAAATGATAAAATTAACCTTATAATTTAATATTAAATTAAAACTCAAATTTATTATTGTGAAATTACGAAAATGCCTATCTTCTTCTTCCCCTTCACTCTTTAGCAATGCAATTTGGTTACAAAAGTAAGTGCATTCCTGAATTCTTGAGTCACACTTAAAGGTTGCATGATTGCTTATGCATTGTAGAAGCAACAAGAACATAAGCAGTCAATCCATGGAGGGTCTTTATCATGTAAATAAAATTGGTTTCCTCTGTATTGGCTAAAGAAGACAGAAGAGCAGTACTAAGAGCGAAAGAAAACAAGGTTAGAGAGAGAGAAACAAGCCAAAGATGAGGAAAGAACTGACAGTGAGGTGTTTGTGACTGTGGCTGAGAGAGAGAAAGACAAGGGCGGTGAATCTGGGGAGGTTTTGCAGCCACACAGAGAGGATTTAGTGAGAGAAATATTAATTCCAAGGGATTTCAAACAATATGCCCTTTGGATTGCACAAAAGAAAACAATTTAGAGAGAGAACCAAGCCAGAGATGAGGAGAGATGTGACAGTGTGTGTGTGTGTAAGAGAGAGAAGAGGGAAGGAGGGGGTGAATTTGGAGGGAGGCTTTGCAGCCACAAAGAGAGGATTTAGTGTGAGAAATAATATTCCGAATGATGATGATATCAAACAATGGTACTATGCCCCTTGGAGTGCGCAACACAATCCAAATAAAATAAAGTTAAAAAACACCCTTTCGTCTTCTTTAGCCAATACAGAGGAGACCCATTTTTATTTACATGATAAAGACCCTCCATGGATTGACTGCTTATGTTCTTGTTGCCTCTACAACGCATAAGCAATCATGCAACTTTCATGTGTGACTTAAGAATTTAGTAATGCACTTGCTTTTGTATCCAAATTACGTTGATTGAGAGTGCGTGAAGAGGAAGAAGAAGATGGGCATTTTTGTAATTTCACAATAATAAATATGAGTTTTTAATTTAATATTAAATCATAAGGTTAATTTTGTCTGTTCAGGGAGTGTTTAATTTTAGTGGTGGATTTTTTTGGACGAAAATGATAATAGAGGGTTCAATCTCTTTTAATGCACTTCTTTCATTTTCACTTTCACTTTTTATTATTAATTTCCATCTAAACATAATTTAGGGAAAAAAAAAATTCCATCTAAACATAGGGTCTTAACTTCTTCGAGTTTTTTTTTTTTTTTGGCAATGAAGTCATGCAATCTCTTGGAGTTCGGTAGGAAATAAAGAAGAGGAATGGAGGGAAAATAAAAAGGAAGGAGCAAACTTCCTTCCTTCCTTCCTTCTGTAGAGAAACTACTATCTTAAATTATACAAATTTAAATTACAATACTATTCTTTATAAGTTAAAACTGTTTCTTTCCTTCTCTTCTAATGAATCCAATAAATTATGAGCTTATTCTCTTATTTTCTATATCCAAATTTTTTCTTTTCTTACAAAACGAAGCATTAAACACTCCACCTTTTATTATGAATGCTCATGGTGAGCAGACAATACTAAACTATTATGGGATGAGAGATGTTGAATTAGGGTAAGTTAGGGAAAAAAAAGAAAAAAGAAAAAAGAAAAGAAATCAAATACAAGTTATAATTTAAGTTGTGTTTGATTGATGAGAAAAAAAAAAAAAAAAAAAGTAAAAAGAAAGGTGTTAATAATTTGCTAGACATTTTTAAGAGTTTTGTTAGCTGGAAAAATAAATTTTGAGGGAAAGTAATATTCTTAAGTACCTAATGTTCTTATAAATAATTCCTACAAAATAGCACAACAAAATTTAAATTTTTTGAGAAATTTTTATTAATTTATAATAAAGCAATTTATTTTATTGTAATTTTAATGCATTCTAAATCATGAAATGATGATTTATATATGTATATAAATATTAAAAAATATATTATGTTGCATGTTGAAAATTTTATTTTCCTTCCATTTATTTTACTTTCCTTCCATTTATTTTACTTTCATTTTGTATCGTAATTATTCAATTAAAATATTAGTCCCTGTTTTTTCTTCACATATATTGATCATTTTCACAGTACAGTAGAAAAAATATTTTTAAATTTAGTCAATAAATCATAGTTTTCTTAAATAAAATAATAATCAGAAATTTGTTAGGGATTATTTTGCCACTTGTGTTAAGGGAGTGTTTTTTTTTGGGTAAGGAGAACTTTAGAGTACTTTAGAAAAACTTTCATTATATATCATAAAATATAGAAGATTTAGAACTTTTATTTTTATTTATATATATATTTTTTATATTTTTGGGTAAGGAGAAGATTTCGGACTTGGTCCACAAGTAAACTCTCTAGGATACGTTTTTATTAGTGTGAAGTAGATAGAAAGAAAAAGAAACAAAAAAATGTTTAAATTTGTTAGAAATTTGGTTAGCATGAAAAAGAAAATTTTCGGTCTAATTTTTCTCAAAATGTTTCTAGCTTAAAACACAAGGAAATTTTACTTTCCGGCAAAAGTGATACCTTCATATCATAATTTCTTATTATGCCCATGTCACCCTATGTGAGTTTCTTCTTTTGTAAACCACAACTTTACGAATATGTGTGTTTCTTCTTTTGTAAATTGCTTATATGATCATGTAATACTAATTTAATTGTTTATATTTTTTATGTGCATAAAAAATTTGTTTCTTATTGTATTTTTTTATTTCCATTAATTAATAATAATTTAGAGTGATATATACATACATCCTTATATATGTATATACATACATACACACACACACACACATATATAAATCTGGTTTTTAGAAGCAGAGCGTTGGTGAAAAATTAGGGTTAGTGTTCGTTGATTTCTTTAGAAATAACAATTTAATTAATTCATACATATAATTTTTATACACGGTCTTCTCTTGAATTTAGGGCTCTAATATATCAGTTCTACCAAACTAATTTAGTTAGGGATCTCCGTATATAAGATGTACCAAGCTAATTTAGTTTAAAGTTTCTTTTATTTTATTTGGAGATGGATTTTTCCATTTTTCCTTTTTTTTTTTTTTTTTTTCTTTTTGTTTGGTGAGTTTGGATGTGTAATGATCCGATCATTTTCCTTCCTTTCCTTTCTCTGAAATTTTACAGATAAATTTTTTTTCCGTTTAATTTTCTTTTTTGAGTTCTGTTTCTCGTCACTTAGTGTCGTCTCGAGTGCTTGAAAATGGTTTCCGAGACTCTTTCGTTCGGATTGACAACTTCCTTTGAGCACCGAGTCATTTCTGCATTTTCATTTTTTCGACACTATTCATTTTTCGTCCTTTTCCCTATTTCGTCATTTTCCATATTCTGTCTTTTCCCCGTTTGTCACTTTATTGGCATAACCTCACTTTCATGCTCGGAGTTGATTTTTGACTTCACATATCTTCATTCTAAGTGGTTTCCTCAAAATACGTATCTTTACTTTTGTAGAAAAGTACTCTGGTTGCTCTCGGTGTCCATAGCGGTATGGATGCACAATTCTTCAGAATCTTTTTCTTTTCTTAGGGTGTCTTTCGTAAATATTTTTTGAAGATATTTTATTTAAGGAGTTTTTAAGAAAATATTTTTGGAAGATATTTTCATTTTGGGGCAGTTATGTAGTTTTTACTTTTTGGAGAGGCCATTGTGCAATTAACGAAAGTTATTGCAAAAATAACTCATTTTGAGCCTGGATCCTTGTACGGGATTCATTTTCACATTTCGTCAAGTCGTGTACTCTTAGAATTTCCTTCTGGTCGTTTTTCTCCAGTTTCAGAATTTCTGAACTCGATTTGCGCCAAACTTGTTCGGGGCATATCTCTCTGGTTGGGATTCAGTTTTCGACGCCGTTTCTTACATTGTTCATATTTTCTCATTTCAAATCTTTTTTGTTCACGGAGTTTCATCATTTGAGCGCGTCTGCTCAAAATC